AAAAAAAAAAACAAAGGAAAAAAGCCTTATAAATATGCACATACATTTTTGTTGTTGGTATTTCCGACAGGGTAGGATGTGTGTATGAGATACAACCTTACCATAGTATGCGTGAACATAGCCTTGTCAATACAACCCTGAATAAGTATAATAAAGAATAACAAGACTTTACCAGAGTCGAGAATACTTGTGTATTTTACTCACGACATATGTCCATAAATAGAAAGTCAATTTATAATTCAAGCGTGGAGTTGAACTAATGCGCTATCTCACTGTTTTTAATTGGGAATATTGCAAAATCTACAGCGAAGTGGACCTGAGACATCTCTCGAGCGTTTGAATGAGGTGCCAAAATAGATATTCAGGGTTTTAGGGTTAAAGTTACAGTAGAATCACAGGGCCTATTATGCAATACCACCTCTTTCTCAGGTGTGGCTAGATTATAAAAGCAATATCTAACGGAAGTTAACCTACAATAAAGCAGAAGCAAATGCAAAATACTATAGTGGTCCTACTAAAATGCATATTTTTAGTGACTTAAAAGAATCTATCATTGCACTTAATGGATTAAGTACCCGTTATAAGGGCAATGCTGGAGCGGTAACCATTTGAGCTAAACTAGGCCACTCCCCACTCATGATATCCTTTCGCTAAACTGACTACTTAAACACCTGACTATTATTCACCTGCAAATCATCAAACACGAGAGGTCCAAATTGCAAATCTCAGTCAAAAGGGATTATAAAGACGTATTTCTTTAAGACTTACAAACCCACGACTAAGGAAATTGAGAAACAACCATATGAGGAGGAACATCCTGGCGTTTTGTTAACCACAAGAGTCAAACAACCAAACTCAAAGAAACAATTGTATCTGCTTGTTTTGCTGGTAAGCCGAACTGACATCCATTTAAAAACTGACCACAATAGAGCTTCAAATAATTATTTTTCCAACTCACAAACACTTTTAATTTATAATTCCCTTATTATTAATATTTTTGAAGTAATGCTATACAAATTTTGATTGGTTTTTACAAAAATAGAAATGTACTTAAAATATTATAAACACTAATATTTGCGTTGCTCTATGGAGGCCCAATTATCAGACAGCAAAGCCAATTTTGTTAAGTTTGAACCAATTCTGTTAAATTTTGTACACGTTTTTTATGTGTTCCTTTGCCTTTTTACTGCTGGCTATTTTTTTTGTTCGTTTGAAAAACTTCCGCACAGTTTTTAAACCCCAAATCTTAAGCTATTGGTTTCAAAGCGACTGTTGCTACGGCCATAATTGGACACTGACTCCATTTTAACAAACATTACAAAGTGTCTTTTTTTTGCTAATTATTTACAAATATTCAAAATATTTTTACAATTCCGCATGGTGATATAACCATAATAATACCTTTTGCGTTGAATTTTTATAGATGCATACATACCCACATTTGCATCTGTACAACAATAGCTCATAATATTCTTTGTTTGTTTATGCTTACATAATTTTTTTAACTAAAATCTAAGCAACAAATTGCACTTTATCTTTATAATAACTTATAAACAAAATTTTAGCTTGAACTAAGACTAAGTAAACATAATTTCAGCAAGCATAGCGTGCAGCGCAGCAGAACAAATAGAAAATGTGAAAGGATTAACGCAGCTAGGATAAATTTATATGCGAAGAACTCATAAAAGGTTTACAAGTTGATTCGGACATCGCTTAGCACTCACAGTCAATTGCTTGCAGCTTTTGATTTTGAAAATTTACAACAAATCGTACGACTGAAGGAACGGTAACATCCATTTGTTAAATTGAAATGTCGAATCCTGGCAATTAGCGATCGTCTTGGTTTTAAATACATATCGTAGCTTTGCTGCAAGATTGTCATTTGCTAAGTATGCAGAAATGGCCGCCACCTATTTAATACATAGCTGTACCGATTAACAATACGTAGGTCAATAGAAGATAATGTGTCCTTCCTTTTTACCATGAGAGCGTTTATAAACTTTAAAGCCGATTTTCTCGAGTTTTTCATTTTTTTATTATGACACTCTTGCAGCAAAGGTATGATACATATCTAAGCATACTTTATACTTTTACATACATATATACATATGTAAGTATGTATGTATATGTTCATTTATTCATTAGAGCCCTAACAATTGTAAAATTGTGTAAATTTGTCATATTCTCTCTTTGTAGCCACACAAGGCAATTTTTTGTTGGGAAATCTTTACCGAAACATGAGTGCGGCCAACGTTCGTTCAGTCTGAAATGATACGCAAGAAAACGTTTATTTTTGTTTAATTTTAATTAATTCGAGTCCACTTTAGTCAACATATACATAAGTATGTATGTACATATGTATGCAGGAATGGGTTAACAAGAAGAATGGCGTGTGGTTGTGATGAAATGAAAACTAAATTCATAAGATGCGAGGAGCTGTTTTTTGGCAAGTGATCGTAATAAATTAAAGTGCAATTAGTTACAGTTTTAGTATAAATAAAGATGAACATTTTAAAGTATACGAAAATATGCGCAAATCCAATTTTTGTTTATCGAGAATGTGATAGTACAATGTACGTATATTAGTTTCTTATTTCTTTTCACACTTATTTGAGAAATGCGATTTGCAAAACAGAACCAAATCGCTGGGCCAATTTCGTCGGATTAGCTGATTGACAAATACAAACACGAAAAGAAGTCTAAGTTCGGGCGAAACCGAACTTTATATACCCGGCGCAGCTATCAAATATCGTCGTTTCAACTTTCTCTGAACTACCTTGGCATGATAAGTAGGGGTGTCTAATCGATTTCAAACGTTTTCGATAATATGCAGAGTTAAACTTAATGATATAAGTGAACCTAGTTATAGCAGTTATTTATTGTTAGGAGATTGTTGTAACTATTAACTTGGCGTAAATTAGCGTCCTCGGTTAGTGATATATCGGAGTTTTCGTATTTCTGAAGTTAACCATTATTCGGGAAGCGGGTGTAATTTTAATCCGACTTTAATAATTTTCAGCAAATTGCCTTTCCGTAGCAAGGTTATTAAGTGCACCGAGTTTGGTAGAAATTGATAAATCGGTTACCGATATACACATTTGTGGTCATAAGTGGGCGGCGCCACGCCCATCATCCAAAAATGTATAATATGTAGTCCAATTTTTTGATAAGTGGTTATTGTAATCATCGCTTTTAAGCAGGATTCGTATTTGCACACACATGTGCAGCACATCCTAACATTTTACGCTCACATACGTGTGCTGTGCATGTAAAAAAATTAAAAACTTGCTCACATCACATGTGTGTGCCGTTTGGTAAAAAGCACGGGCACATGTGTGTACTTTATTTTTTTTAATGTAAAGCACACGCACATGTGTGTGCTATGCGTAGAGAAACTTATACACTTCGAATTCTAACTCAAATCTTAAAATAATTTTTTAATATGTTTTCTGTCATATAAAAAACAAACAACATCTCACTTTTTATTGAATTGTCTTTCAAAAAATAACGTTTAATAAACAAATTCTTTTAAGAATATATTATGTGCATGTGCATGGGCTGAAATTTGTACAAAAATCGGCTCACACACATGTGCATGTGCTTAATAACAAACAGCACACACTTTTCTGTGAGTAGAGTTTGTTTTCCACTTATGCACACACATGTGTATGAGCAGTGAGTGCAAGTTGAATGTGTTTCTGGCGTGTGTGTGAGCAGAGCATGTGTGTGCAAATAGGAACCCTGCTTTTAAGTTAATTAGCTCTAGTAGTTAATGATTTATCACAGTTTTCGTATTTCTGTAAATTTCCGTTATATGGCAGGTGGGCGTGGTCTGAAAATTTCATAATAATATTATTTTTTACCACAATTTCACTCCACATACTAATTTTCAACAATTTGCATCTAACATTTACCGAAATATCGCAGTTTTTGCGTTATTCGAAAATACCGTTATATGGGATGTGGGCGTGGTTACACTCCGATTTCGCGCATTTTCAACCTACCTTGGATAAAGGGCAGCCTACATACCCAATTTCGTTGAGATATCTCAATTTTCGCTCAAGTTATCGTGTACACGGACAGACGGACGGACAGACAGACAGACATGGAACAATCGACTTCTCTTTTTCATTCTGATCATTTATGTATACATTTGTCCATATCTATCTCGATTCCTTTTGGCTGTTACACACAACCGTTATGCGAACAAAGTTAATTTACTCTTGTGCACAAGTGCGCTCGTATATAAATATTAAAATACAAAAGCGGAAAGATGAATACACAAATTTTCCCATCCTTCTTCCAATTTTCTAACTGTCGATCGGCGGCAGTGGAAACATTATAAATAAATATGTTCTCGCCGTACTTCATCCGACGCACTTCGTCGTTGCTTTGGTTGTGTGCAATTTCATATATTGTGGCGACAAATGTCAGCTCTGCTTTGACATTTGTAAAGTAAACGAAACAAAATACACGCCAACAACAATGAATCGCTATACTCCTCAAGAACGCGGAATAAGTATTTCGATTTTTTGCGGAAGAATTCATCGGTGGTGTTCGCGCAGCGTGAATTTAGTCGCGGATTTCCCGTTCGTCGTTTTACAGATAATTTTTGGTGAAAGACTTGAACATATTCCCTTACAGCGTGCCTTAGCAGTAAGCCGTTGACCCCACCAAGCGGAATTATTTCTTCAAGGGCACCGACAACGACAGCAGAGCCTTGCTCAACGACTTTCTCTTTATTCAATTGAATGAATTGGGACTAAAGAACATGTAGATCCCACATTATGTAGCAACAGCGCATGGTGCACAAGCCATAACCGAAATTCCGAGTGCTGCATTTACATGTGGTCTAATTTCTCATTTTAGTGGTTAGTGCTGGCCGGTAAGATCGCCTGATTAAGTTGTGTTCCAGATTTCTTGTTGTAGGGTTTCTTTAAGTCACGCTTCTATGTCAACAATCCTCAGACTCTTGAAGATTTCAAAGAGTAATTACAAACAATTGTCCCTTAATTGAAAGGAAATGGCATCAAGAAAATTATTTTATAACAGCACTAATTATGATTGGTACAAACGCAAACAATTGTATTCTAATACACTTCGTGATTTTAAGACAAGTACCTTAATGATTGAGAGATGTGGACAAATAATTGCAACAGCATATTTACTCGGTCTGAATATATATGATTTACAGTTTATACTTTAAAAAGATAGCTATGATTAAAATTAAATGTCTACTTAACTATTGGCACTCTCCCTATAATGATTGTTGAGATTGTAAAAACTAGATTTGTATATATACTTATAACAGTACTACTGTTTGATAATTTAACTAAAACTTGGTCTAAAAAACATTCATTACAGATACTTCTTTCCTGTTTGTCTTATCTCATCCAAAAAAATACATCCTTGATAAAAGAAAAAACTTATGATTATTTGACATTGTATAAATATTTGAAATATTTGAGTTCTGGAAAGAGCGACAGAAAATTTCATAAGTTGGGCCCGTATGGTCAACACTTCTGGCGGCGACCACTTGGCCGATATCATTTTCTCGGCTCAATGGAAACAGTTAGGACATCAAATAAACGCTCTCCAACAGCCCAACCAAGCAAAATTTTTAATTCATAAAATAATTAGAGCCAAAGAACATCGAATCCCAACTTTTGCGCAATCTTTTACGCTTCTTTAGAGTAGTGCATTAACACTTTTTAATGATTATATGGAAATGACTACTAAGAACAAAGGAAATAGTGGAAAGAAAGCAAAGGTGGGTTTGATGGAAACAACGAAATCGCAAGTGATACTGACATTATTCCGCATTCATAAATCCCATTTGGAGCGGATGCGGTTGATACCCCAATCGGAACGTCTGATAGCAATACTCTTCAATTCCCAGTACTTTGCGAAGCTTCTCTTCAACCAAAATTTAATTTCAGTGGGAAAAAACTCAGTGATTACCAGTTCTGCCTTATACGCACATTGCATTTGCAGTTTGTAATTTGTAATTTGGTATTCAAATGCATTCGATTACACATAAAATATTTCTAAAAAGAACTAATTGAACATGGTAAAAAGCAATACTTACTTCGTAAGGTGCTTACCCACTTTCCCAGTGGGTTCATATCAACAACATACATATCTCAATTCAATAGACAGATACTCGAAATTTTGTTTTATTCGAAAACTAGAAACTAAAAGTACGTTTCCACGAGCAACAAATTTCGTAATTTGGGCACTATTCTCAATTTCTGCTTGAAGTTTTGATAGGTTTCTCAATTTGGCCATAGAAAAAAATGTCAGCTGAAATTGTGTTCGAGTCTCAGTTTGGATGAAATTGAAAAAAAAAATTAAATTCTTTCGTAGCAACTTGGAAGTTTTATAACTTTGAATGATTTCTACGTCGAGAAATTTAAGAACAGTTAACACAGTTGACAACCCAAAATAGGACTTTGACCAATGTTATACAAGTGCCCGAATACCACACTCAGACTATTAATAAGGCTTCACCCGACTTAACTAACCTAATAAGGACTATGGTTACACAAACGATGCAGACAGAAGGACAGCATATAATTCAGAGGGTCCTGAATAACTACGCAAATCAGACTTTTACGGACCAGCTGATAGAAGAACGTTTCCAAAACAATATGAGTGAAATGGACAAAATCCCCGACGTAGTATGCTTTTACGGAAATCCTGCAGAGTTCAGCTCTTGGAAGAAGAGTGTTGAACGAATACTAAGAACTTACGAGCTTTCAAGCCGATATTTTGATATACTGAACGTGATCAGAAATAATATCATTGGAATGGTGGATATTGCACCCGAGTCTTACAACACGCCATTAGACTGGACTGCACTGTCTCCGTGCTTGGCCACCCACTATGCAGGTAAACGAGATATCGGTACTTTTGAATGCCAAATGACATGCCTCATTCAAGGTCGATAAACAGTTAAAGAATTTTACCGAAAAGTTTACCCAGAAACTACAATACCCCAGGCGACAATATTCCCAACAAATATTTCCCCAGGCATTAAACCAACATTTTCCAAAAACAAATTTCTACTCCAAATTAGCCTACTTACCGTAACCTTTACAAAGCTTCAACCTTTACGGCCAGCAACGCGCTTATCAATACCCAGCCAACTAGCAACCTAGTTACCACAACCAAAAACCATCAAAACCACCTCATCCCATGGATGTTGTCGTTAGCTTAAGGACAAATACTATAACGTCCCGTTTCTGCCTTAACCTCGTATTTGCAATAGAGGTATTTTAGAGAGTGTAAGAAGAAATGCTTAATTTCTTCCCCTAGGATACAATAAACGCATTTTGTACTTAATGTTTCTGGTTCCACTAACAGTAGTTAAGTAATTGTTCTATTTTCAAATAGTGTGACACTTAAACAGCTGTTATAAGTGGTAATATTAGTTTTCCCAAAAATATTAGATACGTGGTTAGGGCAAAAACGGGACGATAAACTACGCGAACAAAAACGAAATTCAACCATGAGTTCAGAGAAACTTTCATGTGAATACAAATAATATTATAATTACCAGAGCAATCCGTAGATCTGGTAGAAATTTTACAAACATTGGTCGATACAGGTTCAAACAAGAACTATATTCAACCAAGTTTAGATCAGCTTGGTCAGCTGGAGTGCGCTTAGATCAACTTGAGGGCGCGGATGCAGCCCTATGGCGGAGCTATTTCTCCGACCGAAGAGCCACCGAAGAGCCAGATGTGGCAGAGGCCGTCGAGGTATGTGTGGCTCGCGGCTGTGCACAGGGGTAAATCTGTGGTCCATTTATTTAGAACCTTATGATGGCTTAGCTGTTTCGGCAGCTCGAGCCGTACTGTGGATTTAGTGCATATGCAGACCACCACCACCTTCTCGTATTGGCGGAGGGCCAATATAGAGCTGAAATTGAGCGCAAGGGGTACAGCTACTTGACATCTTCAATAGCTGGGAACGACGTATGGGAATGGATATTTCGGTGGACAAGACGGTGTCAATGCTGCACAAAAGGAAACTCTCGTTAGGACGGACATCAGTCGTTCGCGTTAGTGGGCTCATTCCTATGTATGTAACGCTTGTCATGTATTTGGGGCTGACCATGGATAAGCGCCTGAGTTTTCTTCCCACCTGGTGCGCCTAAAAGAGCGTCCGGTGTGATACTTGTATTTTTAAACTGGAAATTAATCAACATTCATTTAGTATTAAAATGTATAGTACATATCGACGCCTCGAAACCATACTATGGCAAGTCTGACTAAGTCTCAGGTGACTTAGCATGGTATGATTTGGATGCGTCGATATGTGTTAAAGAAAAATATGTAAATATTTCTACTGAAACTTAACTTCGGTTTTAACAATGATGACGGCTATTGCCGATAATGTCTATTTTTGCGGTCAGATGACGGGGCTTGCCCACGCGGGGTTGCGCCTCCGCCATCTGAGGTGATACTGCTGGTTCCTGCTCCCATGGAGACCAAGCCGGTTGAGACGGGGACCTTAGTGGTTAAAAGCAAGGCAGGGAATAAGTGCTCGAATGAGGTGGTCGTCAAAGATGTTGAGCCAACTTTGGCTGAGGGTTTATGAGCTCAAGCCCCTAAAAGGAGGAGCGTCGATTCTTCAAACACCCTCCGTCGCCGAAATGGAGAAAGTTTCGAATAATTCGCGCTTCTCAGAAGTAGGGTTGGACGTAAGCATGTATATGATTCTGGGACTGAGGAAGGTGGGACCTGATGCAGCAACGAATTTTGTTCTTGATGTAGTTGTTTTCTTTGGGTAAACATTTTTTTGTTGTATATTATTTACAAAACCCAACCGCGCTAATACAAATAATTTTATGGTGAAAAACTGTCACTATTCGAATAATTCCGGTTAGTCGATTTTCAGACTACTCGATAGTGAGCAGTTAGACAAAGATGAACGGTTAGTCGAATGAGAGCGCTTAATTGAATAATTGCTATTTGACTATCAACCGACGAAAAAGTTCCTAATCGACTAGTCTAAAAAGAGCTCTAGCTTCTAACTAACTATATCAATGCTATTCAAAATTTGTATATTAAAGTACAAATCGAAATGCATCTACAAATGCTTGTAGAAACTACATTTACAAGTGTAGAATTTTTCGCTGATAGCTACAAGTGTATGAAATAATATTGTGTTACAACAAATCATGGAACTTCTAGCTACAAGCGAATCACTAATAACTTGTAGACTTGTTACAATTGTAAACTTTGTGTTACAGGCCCCAGGTCGTACTCTTGACTGCAGCCAAATATCCTTGAAATACAGTATAACAAAATAAAAACTCCAGGGCTTTGAAGAAAATCACAAAACCAATATCTGAAAAAGTGAGACAGTGGTACAATGGCAAATCTATGAGCAAATAGAGAAATGCTCGCACAAACACAATTAAAAGTAAGTACACTGGAGGCAGAACGATCCTTTCAGACAGTCACTAAGGGAGATCAACATGAAAAATTTACACCAAAACATAACAGATGCAAATCAAACAAATTTAAAAACATTCGAAGCCATACCATGTTTCAGTGGAGATAAAAGTCAATACAGATCCTGGAGGAAAAGGGCATAGACATGTATGGAAAATATAGCAATTTTCTAATCACCCAAACTACTATACCGCGTTTACAATCCTAAACTCAACAATTATTGGAGAAGCAGCGTACATATTAATCAACCACAACACCAATCTGAACTCAATCGTCTGGACTGCACTTAGGCGGACCAACAACCACTGTATGTACTGCTCGAAGAAATTAACAAAATTACACAAGGGAGGCCCACACTGTCGGCATTCAGAAAAGCACTGAACCTTGCACTCTCGAGATGTCAGGAGAACAGGGACCTGATTCCATTTCAGAATATGCAAAAGAGACAGTCCGTACATTTATCACAGGACTCAACAGCAACTACAGAAGCTGTACATTATAGACTCACTACCCAAAGGAGTTATAAACTGCATAAGAAATCGCGAGCACTATATTCCACGATAACGCGAACACGCAGTTTGATGCACTAATTACACCACAACGATACAACAAACGTTTAAATTCTCCACCGCGGAGATATGAGGATAGAGGGAGATACAATCGAGATGCATAGGTAGAATACAATCATCAACCACGCGAAGAACCAATGTAAGTGGATAACTCTCACCAGTATCTACGACCACCCAACAAAACACACAAAATCTCCCGGGAACAACTTCCAATGGCCTCAACAGCACTACGACCCATTCCGAGCAGATCAACGAGCGGAGAAATGCGAAGTAATTCATACTCACACTTGACTAACATTAACATCAAGTGTGAGTGGTCAATTCTGACGGAGAAACCCATCAAATATGATGGGTCAATCTTGTCGGACAAAGCTATCAATGTTGATTATGTACAGCCCTATTCCGGTTTTGCAATAAAATGACATTTGATCATCCTTCATTGTCGTGATTTCGTCATTGTCCTTGCACGTTGGCATTCCTAACAAAAAATTACAGGCGAAAAGCTTTTGTCAACTTACCATGCATGGTGAAAAGTTCATTGTTGTAGAAACAGCTGGTCAACGCTATTATTTGCAAACACTATGAGCGGTGAAACACCAGAAAAGTGAGTATTTGTGCGAAATAGATAAATTCGTATATTTATAGCATTTATAAACATTTTAGACGTGCAAAATATGAGCGGACGACGCAGGAGCAGCTGCAATTTTATGTGCAGTTTTGTAGGGAGCATCCGGAGCTGCTCGTCTTCCACAAGCACGGCTGCGCAAATAACTAAAATTTGTTCTGCCATTGAAATTAGTCGATTTTTATATTGTTTTCACAAATTTATTAAATCGCCGCACTTTTTATATCAACACAAACATATGTTTTTGCCATGTCACCTGCCCAAAAGGTCATGACAATAAAAATTACAATTGGCAAGATTCGAGCTTTTGAATTTTGCTGCGAATACCAAAAAGCTGCAGTTGTTATTTTTATATCAATTGTCATCGCGGTGAGTTTTGTCAGTGTGGCGGAATAGTGCTATTAGTCAATGTTTACATCATGTACATATGTATGATAAAAACTCTTATGCTGAACTCAGTTGGTGTAAGCAGGGCAGATATGTGTTTATGGGTTGTAAGAATTTAGAAGAAGAAGAAGAAGAAAGTGTTGATCCCCTAGTTTTGCCGGAAGATGCATACCATCCTGCTCTTGAGTTAAACTACGAAATCATAAATGAAATACATAATAATAAGTCAAGTTCAAGTACTAGATATGTTTTTGCGAAAGCAAATTTCAGGAAAATTAACAAAGAACTTTCAAAGTTATCTTGGCCAATATATAGAGATGACGTGGAGCGTAGCGTTGAGCACTTTNCGTCGGTGATACTGCAAAACTTTCTGCCTCTGGCACTGATTTGTTACCATCACCGGAGTACATCTGCCAAAAATTATAATCTATTAAACGAGTGACGAAAATGTATTCCTTTTTCTGTACGGGTGAGAGATCATTTACTTAAGGATTGCAGTATCACTGCCGACACGTACATATGTAAGCAATAACAGAAAGTGCAGTGAAAACTGCAACAGAATGCCAGCCTTTGGCTACAACCACCTACATGTGTACACATGTTTGTATATAAACAAAAAAAAATAAAAATAAAGTATTATTCGAATATTTAAAGAGTGCAGTATAATTCTCCAGCTGCAACTACCTTAATGTACTTATGTAGGTAAAAAGAAGGAAGTACAATGCAAATATATATGTACATATGTATTGTAAAAGTGCAACTACATAGATACATATGTAAACCACAAAAAGGGTTGTGCAATTAATGTGAAAACTGCAGTAGAATATCAGTTTCTTTTACTTCCAATTAACATCAAATTAAGTTACTTATTTTGTGCCAACTGAGTTGTATGTAAATTGTGTAAATTATCATTTCACGGTTGTGCACTCATGAATAGATGCGTTTTGATAAAAACAGTCATTTTCGGTCAGGAACAATATTTGCATCTGCTGCATCAGTTGCTTTAGTTGCATAGACTAAATGCTGGCTGGGTACCTACATTGTGTACAAGTTAACGCAACAGCTTACAACAGCTCTGCAGAATTGACTTTTATCAACGGTTAGCAACTCCACACGCGCATCCGCAGAATTGCTGACACCGCATTAACCAATTCGTTATTCGATCAACAATAATAGTTGGCACTACAACGATTGGCCAATATTCGGAAATAGTGCACATGTAAGTGCAATGTGACTGATGGTCGACAGTAGATTTAATTTAATGTTAAGAAACCAATTGTATTTAGTTCTAGGTTTAGACGCAATTAATAAAGACGTGATGGACGCGAGTCCACACACTTTTTAAAAACCCGTTATTTAATAAAATAACTTAACTGGCGCCCGAGCAGGGACTACATTGAGTTTGCGTGTCGGTTTACGTGAACAAAAAAAAAAAGGACAAGTCGCCTGTCAAAACAGCCGAAGGACGGTTAGGAGGACAAGCAGCTTAACTGGCACCGAATGAGCGTTGGAATCCGGTAGGATAGTAACGCACGCGTAGAACAGCGAAAAGGACATCTACCCCGTCACCAGGAAGTGCTAGGAGGTAAGAATAAAATCAAGTTGATTAGGAATTAAGTACTTGTAGTAAACTTTTAAGGAATTTGGAAAAGCAAATTAATAAAATCATAAACTTTTGCAAACGAAAATAATTTAAGTGAATTTTAAAGAGAAATTTAACAAGATATTTGAAGGAATTTTTTTTTTCTCGCAATCTACACATGAAAATATTCAAAGAAAATTTTATAATATAAGAGTGAGAAGTGAAAAAGGAAAAGGAGAAAATTTTTGAACTGCAATCAATTCATTTCAGATTAAAACTTTGTTTAAGTTTACTAAATGTAAAAAAAAAAATCGGGCTTGTACAGCCAATAACTGACACAAATCGAAAGCTGCGACTCACCACCTTCGGGGGGACCCTCCAGCTTATAACAAAAAAAAAAAAATCATTGCGATTCACCACCAAAGGGACCCTCCAGAGAATTATAAATTACAAACGAAAAATAACTAAGGCTTGTGCAACCAATAACTGATAAAAAACTAAAGCTGCGATTCACCATCTTCGGCGGGACCCTCCAGCTTATAACAACAGTCCAACTCTGCGATTCACCACCAAGGGGACCCTCCAGAAGCTAATGACACATAAATAAGGATATGGCAAAAGGGAAAAGCCTCATCCGACACCCAGTGCTAAACACACCTCCCACAGGCCCTTCCCAACCAGTTACTCATAACCCTAACGAAATTAATATGGAACAATCAGCAAATATAATACCTGGCGTGCTAACCAATATATTAAGACAGTCGGGCCGATACTTCTGCAAGCCGCCCTTAATCCCAACGCAAATTTTGCAAATATTACGGACGTGACCATAGACTTGAACCTAGCGAACAATATAACGGAACTAGATAAACTTCCGAACACTGTGAGATGCCTGCGGAAATTCTCAGGCAATCCGGGAGAGTTTAACCCCTGGAAAAAAGCGTACATTGAATATTGCAGATCTATGAGCTACAAAAAGGAACGCCAAAATATTATGGCACCCTTAATGTTATACGAAATAAATCGAGAGCAACGCCGACATTGCCCTCGAATCTGATAATACACCGCTGGACTGGAAGGCTATTTCTAGATGCCTTACACTCCACTACGCGGATAAACGGGATTTGGGAACTCTAGGGAACCACATGACGCCATTAGTACAGGGCAACCTCACTATTCAAGAATTTTACCAAAAGGTGTATTCACCCATGTCACTTATTTTCAACAAACTCGGATTTATGGAAGTTGGTGAAGAATTCATGCATTTGCTAACATGGACTTACCAGGATAAAGCCCTCGACACCTTTATTCGAGGACTAAACGGTGACTTGCCGAGACTTCTTGGCATGAGAGAACCGGTAGATCTCCCTCAGGCTCAAAACTGGAGAACCAAAACTTCAGTTCAAACTACGCGCTGAATAATAATAGCCAAGTTAACAAAACCCAAGACTTCCGCCACCTCTTCCACCCAGATAGATAAGTAACGAATTCTACCCACAACTGGCATAAGCCTCCGGCTCAACCCCCCGCTAAACCGCAACGTCCAGAGCCAATGGATGTCGACCGCTCCTTGCATTCAAAAGCGGTCAACTACATAAATAGGCCACCTCTTAATAACCAGGCCGTGAAAAGACCTTCAAACTTTTCCCAACAAGTGCCTCTGAAGCAACAGAGGAACTTCCACATTGGAGCGGGTACTCAAGGAGCCGAATACTATTTACAGTACCAACAAGGCCAATATTATCCGCAGGATCAACAGGATTTGTATCCTGCAGCAGAAGAGTATGAAGCAGAAATTTGCCAAAGAAGAAGGTAGACAATCAGTTCAGGCATACGCTGAACAAAATCCATCACAAGACGTTCACGACCATATCGATATTCATTTTTTAGAATGAACAGTTCTTCGTTGCCGTACGTAGAGTGCAGAACGAAGAACGGAAAAATTCTGAAAATGCCCATCGATACCGGTTGTAGCAAAAATTACATCCAATTCTGCCTCGTGTCAAAACGAATTCCCAATGACCAACCATTTTTCGCTAATTCCATAGCCGGACAGATACAAATTACCCACCACACAGTTATTAATCTATTTGGCAGAAAGGACACAAATTTAAAATTCTTTTTGCTCCCCACCCTAAAATCCTTTGACGGCATAATTGGAAACGATAGTCTTAAAGAGCTTCGTGTCACCATAAACATCGACGTCGATTCCCTCACATTTGGCAATGGCGCCAAAATAAAAATGAAACAACAACCTACACCATCAGTTAACAAAATTGACGTAAGGACCGACCACATGACAGAAACGCAAAAACGAAATATAGGCCGTCTCACAAACAAATGTCCGCGATTATTTACCGAACCAGATGAGAAACTCACCTACACCACTACTGTAGTAGGGGAAATTAGAACCTCTTCAAACACCCCAAAATACAACAAATAATATTATCCTTATTATCGGACTTAAAAACACACCCGCTATCTTCCAACGAGCGCTCGATGACATCTTGAAGCAACACATAAAAAAATAGATTACGTGTATATGAATGACATCATAGTATTTGGCAAGGATGACAAATGCACCTTCAACATGTTGAACAAATTTTCCACATACTAGAAAAGGCAAACATGAAGGTCCAGTTAGACAAGTGCTAGTTTTTCCGTTGTTTAAATATCTCTGAACATGGATACATATCTTCCTAAGTAATAACATTAAATATAGCAAGAACTTTTAAGAAATATGTATAAGTACAGCATTGCCCTCGGCAATATGTTCCAATATCTTTAAACATGTGTGAATACATACAAACATACATATATGCCTGGGTCGCAAAGCCACTCAAACTTAAAATTGTAATAAACATTTCTAATCCTTGAATATACAAAGGAAAGATAAAAATTGTGCACTTGCACCAAAACTAAAATACAGTCCATGGAAGAAAATATAAATAGAAGAAAATATAATTTGTACGCTTACATTTACATATATAAATTCATATGTATGTATCCAAACACAAACATACGATAAGAATGTCAAGTGTATTCGACGCACAAAAGTAGGTAATTAAATGTAAGGAACGTTCGCGAGAAACAATTAAATATTGAATCGGTTGATCCTTTATCAGTTGTAAAAATATAAACACAAA